CCCCCCCCGCCCCCTTTGTCCAGGTTTCCCCGCGCCGCTTTTTTTAGGGGCCCTTTTTTTCCACCACCTGCCCCGCACTCTGTTTCACCGCCCCCCCCCCCCCCCCCCCAGTGCCCCATCGGACTCAGCACTGCTGCAGGATTCCCTGAAGGCTAGTTTCCTTTTATCAGATATCAGGAAGAGTCTCCTGTCTTCAGCAAACAAAACCCCAAGGGGAAGAGATGCAGCGTGTCAGGGAGGCAGGGGCTGGCCCGTCATGCCTGGGCCAGAATGGAGACTTTTTGGTTTCCAACCCCCGCAACTCCCAGTGCCAAGGAGAAAGTTGCAAACAAAGGCTTTCCATTCTTCGCTCAGTGTCTTTCCTTCCATCTGTCCTTCCTGCCTCCCAGGCCCAGGGTGAGGGGAGGCACAGACTGTGCAACGGATACATTTTTTAAAACTTCGTGCCAGGTGCATGTTTCCTCAACCGGCTTTAGGCAAGACAAGCAAACACTCGGCTGTCGCACAAAAAAGGGAACTGCACAAAGGGAGCTTTTTTGTTTTCTGTTTTTTGGCTGGGCCAGAGAAGTGGCACAGCCAGGTCAGAAAGTTTAAACAGAAAGTGGGAATAACTTTGGGAGGGGATTTTAACCGTTTAGCAGACACAACAGCTTGGAAGAGTATCTGTAGCTCAGCAGGGACATCTAGTGGAGATGTGTCTGCAAGTGCCTTTCGCCAAACGTGACTCTTGGATCTGGTTAATAAATCTGGAACGTCTCCCATCCTCTTGCAGTCGCAGTTTACGGTTTCCAGTGCTCCCATCGCCTTGCATGGAAACTGTCGATACCAGACCCACATTTCAGTGAGAGCGCAAGGTTCTGTGCCATGAATAGCTCAATTGTAGGCCGAAATTGGAACAGTGCCATTTCTGCCCTGAGTGTGTCTCTGAAATGAGGGATGGAGCTGCACCTGTTGAAGTGCTGCCTGCCAATTCAGAGCCCCTGCTAGGGGGCCTCGTATGAGACATCTGAACCTCATTGCCCCCTCCTTATTTTGTAATTGTAGGTACACGCAGCGTGGTAAGGATATCTCATCCTTATTAAAACTGCAATCCTAAACATACCTTTTAGGTTGAATGGCACTAACTTCTGGGTAAGCATGTAGAAGGTATTGCAGTCATCACAAGGTGAAACAGACTTTCTACAGCAAAGTACATTTTGCCTGAGGTATTTCCCTATCCCCTGTCTATTCCCTCTGTGTTTCAGACACAAAACAAGCAGAATGTAGGAGACTCATAAACAGAGCTTCCAACTCTGTTTTCAGTGGGATGTTTAAAGTGGAGAAAGAACAAGGAGTGGGAAGGGCTAAATATTCCTATCCAAACTCCACTCCCCCAAGCAAAAGTAAATCGGATTAATTAAAAAAAAAGGAAATCCAGTCACAGGTCTCCCACTCTGCATCTCTTTCAGTCCTCTTTCAGGTACTTTTGTTTAAGCAATTTGCTGTCAGTTATGGCCCAGATACTTTGGTGATGGGGCTCTCTTAAAATAGATGGTGTTTTAACCATGAGAATTGTAGCACAATTGTTGTAGAAGAGTTGGTCTGCGGTGCAAACGTACAATGGTAAAAGAACAAGCAAGAATATGGGCATCCTTCCCAGGTGGGGCAATAATCCGAATCACACATAGAAACTGCAACAAAATGTAATTCTTTTTAAGGCACTCATCAGCTGTGTCTGTTCCCAGGAGATTCCAGGCCATCACCCCTCAGTTTGCCTTTCTCGCCTGCAGCCACGGCAGCCTGCTTTTGGGGCACCCCCCTTTATTTTCTCCCCTAAATGTTTTCGTCCTGCCCCAAATGTTGGGATTCTCCCAAGCCTCTTGGAATCTCCCCATGTGCCTGGGTGGTAGTGTTCTGGCTGCTTAACAATGGGCGCTCAGAGAATGGATTCAGCATTATACAGAAGATGCCTTACCTTGATGTCCTTCCGCTGTGTTGGGAGGTTGAGTCCAGCATGTGTGGAAGGCACCGGCTTGCTGAGGCTGATGGAAAACGTCCTTGAGAATCGCCAAGCTCCAAGGCTGTTACAATTGCATATTCACCCACGCTTGTCTCGGCACTGGTGTGCACATGCTGTATGATCCTGAAGCAGCATCCTGCTTCCGTGTAACTGGAAGTGTGGAGCATTTTGCACCTCCCAGCATGTGGTGCAGTATCCAGAGCAGGGAAAGGGGCAGGAATGACAGGGGAGGTACAATTGGGAAGTGCCGGGAACAGTGAGAAGGGATCTGCTTCACGCATCACACCGGTTCATAGTTGTCTACCGGTCGTCTGCACAGAAAGCAGCTGTATGAGCCTCCCTCGCGCTCGCTGTATTGCATCCGTTTTCTCCAGTACCCAGGGTGGTTCAGTCAACCCCAGCATTCTGGGTTGTCGGGGGAAACAACCCAGCACTTTCACCCAGCAACAAACCCTGGAATGTGAATCAGGCCAGAAGGACTAGCAAAGGAAAGAGATGAAGCAGGCAAGGCTGTGACACTGATGGCTCTGCCAGTCCCGAGAGATCCATTTAGAAAACAGTCCATGCTGTAGTAACCAGTTTACCAGGCTGTTCAGCCTTGTGGCCCCACCAAAAGACCTCATGGCTTTATGGTGGGATCCATGGTGGGACACTGGCACACTGGGAAATTCGAGAAACTGACCTGGGTGTAATCCTAAAATACCTGTCCTGGCTGTGTGTGGTCGGTCACAGAGGACAAGCAACCTGCCCAGAGGTTTTCATGGGGAATTACGATGGCAGCAATGGGGAGCTCCCATTTCACTTTGAGGTCATTCCAGCTGTCAGCCAGGAAAAAAATATTTGTTTTTCACATAAAAATTGGAAGGAGTGGGGTGTTTAAGGGTTGCAAAGGGTGGCTCAGTTTGTTCTCCAGGCTACATTCCTGGGGTTTTATCTGTTTGCTTCTTAAATCTTTCCTTTCCTCTCCACAGAGAACTCAAGTGTAACAGCAGGAGCAGCAAAGGTGAAGGTGAGTTGCGTGCCGTGGACTTTGTGTTCCCCCCCTGCCCGTTCTCCCCCGAAAGGCTTCTGCGGAAGGAAGGCGGACCCAGGCAGCCCGCGGGGCCCTGCAGAGCCGTGCGCTTGGTGCGCGGTCAGCGTGCAGCTAGACTCCCGCGCGGGGCACCATCGTCACGGGCTGCATTGTGGTGTGTGGAGAGATCACTTTTGCTCCAGCCTCAGCCCTGCTACTCTGGTGGCGATGTCTCCTTCCCACAGAGAGCCTTGCTGCTTTGGGAAGGCTTTGGAGAGAGCGATCTTTTTAAGTATCACAAGAGCATTTTGTTACTGGATTAATTATGAGCAACCCACCTCCCCCGTTTCAACCCTGCATTTTTATGGCAATAACAACAACGACAATGACCCTAGATGATGATGATGATGATGATGATTCAGGGGCAATATCCTTTATCTCTGCCACTTCTGTGCTGGAGACGCCCTGAGTGCCTATAATCATTTACCAATTTTTCTGGTCCTTTTAATGCAATAGTTTAAGTTGCAGGCTCACAAGAGCTTCTGAAATGATCTTTTTTTTTTTTTTGCACTTTGCATCCTCCCAACCAGTGATTGTTTAGTGGTGTCTTGGTTTGGTGTGTGTGTGTGCGCGCGCACACCCACCCACACACACTCCCTATTGAAAAGGTTGAAATGCCTCTCCTAAGGCTTAGTTGCCGGCAGTAAGAACATTACAGTGAAATAGGCCGGTGCCATTGGCCTGCCCCGTTTCCCCTTGTCCCTCACCCACTGCGGGGGTGCAGCCCCAACAGCTCATCTAAACGTGAACTGGGCCTTCGAGCTCAAAGACATTTGACAGCCTCTCTCGAAGTGCGGGGGCAGGGGGGCTCCCGGATCCCTACTAGCCTTGCTGGCTGTGTGCGCCCCCCTTTCCAGCGTTGATGCGCCTGCATACAGCAGTCGCTGAGGAGCTTGGGCAGGGGAGGCCTTGCACCCGTCCTGCATGAGGTTTGCCAGTGCTGGACTAGATGGACCTTTGCTCTGATCCAGCTTGGCCTTTCCGATGTTCTTGCAACAATCAGTGTTCAGGGGGAAGGGGGAAGAAGGTGTGACCGTCTGGAGAGCCTCAGAGGAGGATACTTGGAGCCAGCTGTGAGGTGCTCCACCCCTGATCTGGAAGAACCGTGGGTCCCTGGTTCCTTCCTTACGAGGATTCTTGGCTCAGCTCCCAGGCCCAAAGCTTCCCTTGCTGCCTGGGTTAGCAGAAATGGGATGGTCCACAGGTGTCTCCTAAAGGCAAAACAACACACCCACTGCCAGCCTCTCCTGCAGCGGTGATCCACTCCCCACGCATCCGCTGCACGTAGACAGAAAATAGTGTCATCGTATTCTTAAGTCACTCTGGTGCCTGAAGGGGGAACATCAGATGACTCCACCTTCTGCTCACTTAGCATGGCATAATCCTGTGCCAGCAAACAGGAGCCGTACAAGAGCACAGCAGAGCGGGGAAATGGGTGCCAGGTTGCTGCTCACACTCATTTCAGTGGGGTTCACCCAGGAGTTTCCTAATACTGAATCAGCCCCTTGGTCCATCAAGCCCAATATATTGAGACTGGCTGGCAGCAGCTCTCCAGGGTTTTGCACAGTTTTTCCTGCCTGCTTAGAGATGCCAGGAGATGGCAAACTTGGAGCCTTCTACATGCAGCGCATACTCTGCCACAGAGCTGCGACCCCTCCCAGAGTTCCTCATGCCCACCTGAGCCCGTTGGGTCATCGGATCTGCCTGCCACGTCCTCAGAGGCACCCACAATCCGCATCGCCTGGCTTCCTCTGGCTGGCACTGAGGAATGAGAGGCGGGCATCTTAATTATAGGCCACGGTGCACTTGGGCACTTTGGACTGCACACAGGACCATGTTCAGATCATCGTCTGGCTTCCCTCTTTCTCCGGTAGTTTGACTGGCATGAGCTGCACCAAGCATCCTCCTCTTTGCCCCATAAAGAAAGGCAGTGGAGCTCACCGCCTGCCCAGTCTGGCTTCTGCTAACAGGAGGGGCAGGGGACGGCAGTGTGTGAGTAGCTGCGGCAGGTGTCCTGCTTGCTCAGGCCGGTAAGCAAGCCCAGCCCAGACATTTTCATATAGGTCAGGGAACATCCCCAGGCCCAAGATGACTTTGGCTGCCCTCCTTTCATTCTTTCCCTTGGCTGGAGGAGGATGGGGCCCCACGGGCCGAAAGCGCATCCGACACCGGGTCACCAGTCTGAGCCTCGCTGCAGGCTCGAGCCCCACCATGGCATCGCTTGGCAGGACGACCACGCGGTCTCCTCTCCTCCTGTAGGAGCCGTGCTCCCCAGGGGCCAGAAAGTAGGCACCTCAAGCTGCTAAAGGGACAGGACAGAAGAAGCGGGGTTGGGGTTGGAGGGCAGAGGACAGGTGTCGTGCTTGGCAGTGGTGTTGCTGGAATCGCTGCCTGGTCAGCAAAATCTCTGTGTGCTGCTTGCTCTCGCTGTGTCTCCCAGCAAGTTTTATCGGTATAAACACTGGGAAAACAACGCTGCCTCCTTGGAAAGCCTTGCTTAGTTTGGCACTGCATGCAGTTGCTTCACGGTTCCCTGGAGGAGAAGAGCAGCATTTGAGAAGGCCCGTCACTTCTGGCTGATGACAAATCCCAAATGTCTTTCCATTCCCTCTGGTACAGAAGTGGGAGGGAGAGAGGGAGGGAGTGGGGTGGCGGGGGCGGGGGGAGGACAGTCCCTGGCCAGGAGAAAGAGCCGCTTCCCTTCGTGCAAGAAGGGGTGGGCCAGTCTGGCCCCAGCTGCATGAGACATTTTTAAAGAAGCCAGACATCCCCTTCATCATGCAACACTGAAATTAAATGCTATGCATGACATGAAGATGCTGTCAGAAAGGGCACTGCCATGTCAAGGCTCTACATCGGACTTCCTCAGGCTGGCACCCTCCAGAGCTGCTGGACTGCAGCGCTCAGCGTGCTGTTGTACATGCATTGGGAAACGTGCAGAAACTCGAGTTGGGGTTTCATTTTGAGCCTTTTCTCCTTCCCCCGTAATGTGTCGCAACACTAATTTTTGCCTTACGATCTCGCCGCTTCGTGCGTTTTCCAACCCTCGAAGTGGCAGCCAAGGGCATGGAGCAGAGGCAAGGAAGCCTTCCATCGCGTGGCATCGCAGCCTGGGGTCTGGGTTTCTTCACTTCGCAGGGAAAGGAAGGGCACTTGATGGGAGGATGCGGTTTCCCTTAGCACCACCATGTCACATTGTGTTTCAACACAAGCGAATGCCTTGTAGAAATGCTCCAAAGCCCCAGGAGGTGAGGAGCTGAAAGAGTCCATTGTATCTGTGAGCTCATCACAAGCTTTTCTGCCTGTCGAGAAGGACCTTAACTTCTCCTCTTTGCCTGTTCCAGGTCCAGGTTCCGCGTTTGCAGATCTCCACCCGAGCAACTGTTCTTCTAAGAGGCATGCTGGTGAAGAGGAACTGAGGAAGCGCCTGAAATCCCAGGGGCCACCCGTCCCATCGACAGGAGGCACCGTCCGCAGCTCCTCTGAGCACCCCCAAGAGCCAAAGTTCTACCAGGCAGGGCATCCTGGTCAAAAGGCACCGGCGTGTCTGGCAGAGAAGGCCCTGTCATTCAGCATGCTCAGTTTCCCAGAAGGCTCCTGCTCAGCATTAGGCCGGGAGCACAAGGCTGGCTCACTGCGCCACACTGAGGGCGCTGACCGCTACAAGAGCCTTCACGCCCAGAGCAGTGCCAAGGCGGAGGACGTGCCAGCAGCCAACCTTCTGGTCTGCCCTGTCGACGCCCAGGGCCCAGATGAGACAGCCACACAGGACCGAGCGGCCAAGACCTTCTCCAACGCCACGCTAGCCTCGGGAAGGTGCAACATCGACAACATCATTTCGCTTCTCAAGAGCAAGTGCGGCAACGGCCGCATCAACCTCTACCCCGTGGTGCAGCTCATCGACATCATGAAGGACATCAACCGCCTGTCCCAGGACCTGAAGAGCTGTGGCGTCCACCTGGACTGCAGCGGCCTACAGCTCAACAGCCACCCGTCCTTCCTCGGCGAAGAAGGCCGGGAGCAGGACCTGCAGTACAGCTTCTACTCCTCCCCAGTGCTGGCCAACAGCATCCGTAGCCCCGAGGACCTCGTGGCGCAGGGCAGTGCCAAGGCCGAGCTGCCCAAGCAGACCCAGGCCAGCCTGTATGTGGAGGAGCCGGAGGGGGACCCTCCATTCCCGGCGGGTCTGAGCAGCCCTGCTATGAAGGCTCCCAGCAGCCTCGACGAGGCCAGCAGCTCGGAGTCAGACGCCACTGACTACACAGAGCTGGCGGACACGGATATCCTGAGCGAGCTGGCTTCTCTGGCATGCCAGGGGCCCCAGCTGCTGGATCACCAGCACCCGGAGCCCCACCCGCAGCTGCTCCCGAGCGAAGGGCCTGAGGGAAGGCCCCAGCTGATGGGCCCGCAGTCTCTGGAGCACCAGCCACAGCTGGTGGATTCGAAGTCTCTCGAGCCCCCTCCAGAACCCCTGGCGCTGCAGCCCATGGGGGCCCTGCCCACACCCCTGGGGCTGCAGCCCCTGGAGCCGCTGGAGCTGCAGAGCCTGGCGCCCCTGTCCGACTCACTCTCCCTGCAGTCCCTGGAGCCCCTTTCTGAGCCCCTGGGGCTCCAGGCGTTAGGGGCCCTGGACCACCACTTGCTCGACGCCCAGGCCCAGCTCCTGGATCCAGAGGCCCAGCTGCTGGGCCCCCTGCCCAAGTTGCTGGACTCCCAGCCCCAGCTGGGGGAGGAGGAGCCCCTGGGCACCCACGTGCCGCAGCCAGACGCCCGCCTGGGAGGCTGCTCCCTGAGGGGCGTGGGGCGGCGCGGGGCGGGGCGGGGCAGGGACGACCACAGGAAGTACGCTCTCCGTAGAACAGATAAACCAAAGATTCTCTGCCGCCGGCGGAGGGGGGGCCGGGGGCGACGGGCCGACCTCGTCGCCGAGACCAGGGTCCTCCCCATGGCTGTGCCGGTGGAAGTGGTGATGGCGCAGCCTGAGGAGGCCAGGATGCCGGTGGGCACGGTGGCCGTGGAAGAAGCACTTCGGCCCATTGGTTCCACCCCGGAGCCTGAAGACGGCCGGAAGGCGGCCGCCGCCAGCCTGCAGCCTCCGAAGCCCAAGTGCCGCGGGGTCCGCAGGATGGTGGTGAGGATGGCCAAGATCCCTGTCTCCCTCGGGAGGAGGAACAAGACGACATACAAGGTCTCCTCGCTGAACAGCAACTTGAACCTGGAGGGCAAGGAGGCGACAGCCTGCAGCCCAGTAGAGCCAACTCCGCTGCTGAAGATGAAGAACAACGGCCGCAATGTGGTCGTAGTCTTCCCGCCGGGCGAGATGCCCATAATCCTGAAGCGCAAGCGGGGAAGGCCCCCGAAGAACCTGATGCTGGGCCCCTGCAAGCCCAAGGAGCCCACCCCAGAAGTGAAGAAGCGGAGGAGGAGGAAACAGAAGCTGGCGTCACCGCAGCCCTCCTACGTCGCCGACACCAATGACAGCAAAGCCGACTACTCCGACGTCCTGGCAAAGCTGGCCTTCCTCAACCGCCAGAGCCAGTGCTCCGCTCGCTGCTCCCCACCCCGCTGCTGGACCCCAAGCGAGCCGGACTCCATCCACCAGGCCCCCGACACGCAAAGCATTTCCCACTTCTTGCACCGGGTCCAAGGCTTCCGGCGGCGTGGGGGCAAAGGAGGCGGATTCGGGCGCGGAGGGGGCCATTCCGCCCGCTCGTCTCGCTGCTCCTTCAGTGATTTTTTCGAAGGCATCGGCAAGAAGAAGAAGGCAGCGCCGGGGACGGCCATGCATGCCGACCCTGCTCACCCACGGAAAAGGGGCCGGCCTGAACCGGACTCCATGGAGAAGCCCAAGAGGAAGAGACGATCCCGTAAAAACGGAGCTCTGTTTCCAGAGCAGAACCTGAGCCAGAACTTCAGTGACGGGGCCTCCGAGTGGTGCGGAGACAAGGAGGGTCCCTGGATGTCCCACCACGGACACCTCTCCGGCCAAGCCAACAGGAACTGCAGTTACCAAGGCACCGATTCTCGGACCTTCCACTCCTCAGCGCTGGAGCCCAGTTCCTCCAGCCGAACTGGTTTTTACAGCGGGAGCAATCCATCCTCCCAGTCCGAGCTGAGCCAGGAACGACAGAGCCTTTTCACAGGCTACTTCCGCTCCCTGCTGGATTCAGATGACTCCTCCGACCTGCTGGACTTTGCCCTCTCCAATACACGCTCCGAGTCACGGAAGTCTGCGGCCACGTACACGGCTCCACCCAACGCCATCGCCACCCAGAGGGGCATGGCGTCGTACCCGAGCCGAGGGGGCAAAGTCACGCCCTCCTCCACCTCTGCCACCACCACGACCGAGGCGCCGTTCCACACGGTCATGACGAGCCGGCCGTCGTTCCCCTCCGGCAGAGCGGCGGGATACGGCCTTTCCCAGGGGGCCTCCGAGTGCCGCGGCACAGAGGCCTTCCAGAAGCTGGCGCCCATCTCGGCCATCTCCAGGTCGCCCACCACCCACTCCACGGCGGCCCCCAGCTATGCACAGTACAGCAGCTACAGCGGCACCAGCGGGGGGCAAAGCCTGACCCCCTCGAGCCTGTTCCAGCAGGGGAAGCCCTACCACACCACGCAGGACTGCCCCAACAACAAGGACTGCAGCTTCACCTACGGCAGCGGGAGTAGCCTGCCCTCGTCCCCCAGCAGCGCCCACAGCGCCAGCTACTCCCAGCAGACCCCGGGGCCCAGCGTGCCCCTGAGCAAGGCCACCTTCTTCAACAGCTCGGACCCCAGCCAGTTCCCCAGCTCCTCCCACACGCCCATGCGGTGCGACAGCCGGGCAAGCACAGTGTCCCCGGGCGGCTACATGGTCCCCAAGGGCTCGGCCTCCTTCCAGCCCTCCCCAGAGAACTGTCGGCAGTTCCCCAGTGCCTCCCAGTGGGCGTTCCGACAAGGCTACGGCGGCCTGGACTGGAGCTCGGAGCCCTTCAGCCAGCTGTACAATCCGGGCTTCGACTGCCATATCAATGAGCCCAACATCATCCTCGACATCTCCAACTACACGCCGCAGAAGGCCAAGCAGCAGACCGTGTCCGAAACCTTCTCCGAGTCCTCCTCGGACAGCACCCAGTTCAACCAGCCGGCCGGCTACAGAAGGGCCAACAGCGAGGCTTCCTCTAGCGAGGGCCAGTCCAGCCTCTCGAGCCTGGAGAAGCTCATGATGGACTGGAACGAGTCCTCCTCGGCCCCAGGCTACAACTGGAATCAGAGCGTCTTGTTCCAGAGCAGCTCCAAGCCTGGCCGCGGTCGGCGGAAGAAAGTGGACCTCTTCGAGGCAGCTCACCTGAACTTCACGGCGGGCGTGTATCCTTCCAAGAGGGGCACGGGAGCCAGGCAGCCACGGGGCTCCCGGGGGGCGTGCGCCTCCAAGAAGGAGCGCGGCACCGGCAAAACCAAGTTCCCCGCCAAGTCCCAGGCGGTGAACCCCCTGTTCCAAGACAGCACCGATTTAGGCTTGGACTACTACAGCGGAGATAGCAGCATGTCCCCGCTACCCTCCCAGTCCCGGGGCTTTGGGCTCAGCGAAAGAGACCCTTGCGACTATGCCGGGCCCTATTCCATGAACCCTTCCACCCCTTCGGACGGCACCTTTGGGCAAGGGTTCCAGAGCGACTCCCCCGGCCTGGGGCAGACAGATCTGGACAGCAAGCATTTCCCCGCCTTGCCCCACCAGCTGGCTGCCCCGCCCCCCCAGCAGACTGTGTTTGAGGCAAGCCTGCAGAAAGCCTTCTCGCCCAACTGCTCCCCAACTCTGGCCTTCAAGGAGGACTTGCGGCCCGGCGACATCCGGAAGCTCCCAGCCTGTGACTCGCTCAAACACGGCATGCCGGGGGCGGCCAGCATGCCCCACTCGGCGGCCGCCCACATGGCCTGCCGGGACCTGCCCATGTCTCAGCCGCACTACGATTCCCCCAGCTGCAAAACGCCCAGCTACTGGTACTCCCCGTCCTCCAGCACCCGCAGCCCCCCCTATGACAACAAAGCTGGGGTTGGGATGCTGGTGGACTTCATGGGGAGAAGCCCAGACGCCTCCTGCCTCAACGCCCACCTGAGCAGCCCCCCCAGCAGCAACCCCTCCAAGAGCGAGAAGGAGCCCATGGACATGGCACGGGCCCACCACCGGGGGGCCTACCTTTGCCCCCTGATGAATGACTTGAACATCTCCCCTGTCCCGAGAGACTCCATGCTGCCACTTCAGGACAACTATAGGTACCCCAGCTTTGCGCCCCAGGGGCACCCCATCATGGCCGCAGCCCAGAAGAGCGGGTTTTTGGGTCCAATGCTAGAGCAACATCCTGAGGATACGTTCACAGTCACCTCATTGTAGTGTCATCTGAAGTGCCAACCCGGACCACGAGGTTTTGTTTCAGGGTAGGTGCCGGAGGACAGGCTGAGTGAGGGGCGCCGGCATGCTCTGGGGAAGGGGGCACCTCTGGCTTGCTGCGCACTCTCCCAGCGGCTCGGCCGTGCCAGCAAAGAGCTTCCTGGCACATCAAAGGCAAAACAGAGGAAACCAGAATTGGGGTGCATTTTGTGGAAATGTGCCTTTGGGATCCTTGAAGTCCCAGACTGTGGGCACGGGGAGGGATAACGCGGCCTGCAGTGCCTTCCAAAGGAGATGCCCAGCGGCTCCTAGGTGGGGTGGGGCTTTAAGGGGACACTTGTGTGCAGGGAAAAGCCCTTGTTGCGTAGCCAGTAGAGTCTACCTGCAAAAAAGAGGGCAGCGGAGGCTAAGCAGCACCCAAGCATGCTGCCAAGCACCCAACTGTTCCATTTAGCAATTACGTGTGCGCATTTCAATGTACAGGTAAGATTAAATTCAGCCGCACTCAGGCAAAGCGAACTTCTACACAAACAAAAAATAGTTGAACACAGGCAAGCCACAAAGGCACAAGAGGAGTTTTGGTGGGCATCTGGAATGTACCCATTTTGTGGATCTTTATGAGAGGGTATCCAGTAGCCTTATGGAGTCTTCTCTACTGGACAAACGTTTCAGTCTGTCGAGACTAAAAGCAATTTTTTAAACAGGGAAGACTTTCTGTATCAGCTTATTAGTTGTTTCATTTTTTCATGTGCTCGGGGCCCAACCAACTTCATGTTTAGGTACCAGCTCCCCACTACAATCCCCAGCATTCCTCAGCCGAAGTGAGGAATGCCGGGAGTTGTAGGACTTCTGCCTAAGCATGTATGAGATTGCTCCTCACACTGTATATCACAGCTGAAACTTGTAGTCTACTCTTGGTCCGCCCAATGGGTACGTTACAGTGTTTTGGAGTTTTGGCTGGTACATTCTGCCTCTCGTGACAAGGCTTAGGGTAGGTTGCAAGGTGTGAACAAATGATCGCTTTCTGTGTGACAGCAGGGTACGGTTCCTTGTGTCGGCACCCCGGGCTGGCCACATCCTTTCTGTAATGCCTGAAGGATGCTTGGAAAGAAGTAATAAAGTATCTCCAGGGAACATTGATCAGCAGAGGTTCCCCAGCAAATGTTTTAGGATACCTGAGATTACAGAGAGCATGTCATCCGCTTGGATGAGTAATTTAAGGAACTGTCTGTTGCTGTAAGCTGGAAACCAGCCCTAAAATTAGCAGGGGTGAGATGCCATTGCGTGCAGTAGGCGTTAATGTGATGTACCAAATCGTGACGTCCAGCTGCATGCCCAAACTGGGTCCAAAATAGAGAGCCTCCAGAGGAAGGACGTGCTCTGAGTGTAAGACACCAACTGGGAAAACCTTCCTAGAGGAGAAGGTACCTACTGTTAACAGAACGTTTGGAGCTGAGCTTAGGAGGGGTTGCAGGCTGTAAAACAAAGGCTTTGCTTTATTGTGTTCTCGTTGTTTTTGCTGCTAGCTGCCTTACACACCAGAATAATAAACCAATCGGTGACTGATATTGAGTCCCGGCTAGGCTACCCCCAAGGTCCTGGAGAAGCTAGGGTAGGGCTCTGGATCGTGCGTGCGCCTTGCTGCTGCTGTTCAGACCACAGTGGGGGCAGAAGGCTTTCACTTCCAAATCTTACTGGGTACGTACGTCCATGCAGGACCAGCATACACACATGGCTAGAAGAAGCTCCATCATTTGGAAAGCTGGCCTCCTTTTCTTTGAGGTCTTGGGGCACTGGATTGTGGTGGCGATAGACCTTGTCTAGCAGTGTGTGCCAACAGTTGTCACCAGGCAGAAACACACAGATAATTTTTCTGAGATGTGCATTGATCACTGAGCCAGTGGCAAAAAGGTCTCATTTATTTGGCAGGGTTTGCAGAGCAGAACAAAAACTACTCCCCAAAAGTGAGATCTAAATACTCCCTTTCCCATTTGAGTTTTGCTTTGTTCTATTTTTAATTGGGTGGCAGGGAGTGAGCAGCAGGACTTTTGTGTGTGAATTTCAAACAACTCCCTGGCCATTAAAACCAGCCTCGGCATCTTCATGGCCCACAGCTCCTCTCTTTAGATGGTGGCCCAGCATTCAGTGCTGTGTAGCAGCCTTCTTCAAGCTGGTGCCCTCTAGATAGATTGGGCTATAGTGTGCTTTGCCCATTGTCCATGATGACTGGGGATGATGAAAGCAGTAGTGCAGCTCATCAGGAAGGTACTGACTTGGAGAGGCTGCTGTATAATGTACTGGCCAGGTTTTACAAAGGTGTCTAAACATGTCTAGACTCGTAGCATTCTAAACCACAGATGAACTGAAGGTTTCTCCATGCCTAGTTTTTTAATTCCCCTCACATAGAAAACTAGCATGTCAGGGAGAACACTAGCTTAGGGCCATATAAAGCTTGTTTTCTTAATGGAAGGTCTGAATAGGAACCTTTGGTTATGTTAGCACCACCCTGCGGTTCCTGAAGTGCTATAGACCAGATCTGGGTTTCCCATATCTCAAGTTCATAAGTAACTCAGCCCGGGCATTTCTTACAAAATATGGAACGGGAGAGTAAAAAGTACTATTCTGGCTGCCACAAAAGCTGTATTATTGTGCCTTGTCCTCTCCTACATGGTCCGACACAATTGCTTTGCCCTTGACTTCATTGGCTACTTGCAGTGAAACGCAAAGGGTGATCTTGTCACGCCACATGTTTGTCTTACGGAGATGATGCTGGAAAAGAATGAAGGATGCAAAGGAGTTGTGCATAGACGCACACAGAGTCACAATGTTTGCTTCTGACCTAGGCTGCAACCCTACACTGTACCATCTCTTTCACACATGGACCGCAAGTGCACCCTGCTTTTGAAATAAGCTTTTTAAAAACTACATTTACAGCCCAATAATCAGTGTTCAAATTCCTACTCAGCTGCAAAGCTCATTGGGTGATTTTGGGCCAGTCACTGTTGTTAGCCTAACCTACCTCACAGGGTTGTTGTGAGGATGAAATGTGGGGGAAGATAATATATGCTGCTGTGAACTTCTTGGAGGCGTGGCAGGGCATGCATTTAACCCAGACGATTTTACATTTTCCCTTAAATAAATCTGGGCAAAATGTTGGCTGCACCTCAAGTAAGAGGAAGTCGCACAAGTGAGGGGCCAAACTGAATTGCCTTTCAGGCTGCACAGGCCACGAGTTGGCTCCCTCTGCCCCTAAATAAAAGCAGAATGGTTATGCCCAGAGATGCTTAGCAGGTTCTGTTTAAAGGGCCACTAAACCATAGATTCCAATAAAGGGATTTGTCAGACAAAAAGGTTATTGGTCCCCAGGGTTCCATGCTCCAGAATAAATACCCAGGCTCCGACAGAACACACCATGTTTTGATATATGTCTCTTTCTTGTTTTCTCTCTCCTCCTTCTCCATCTCTCTTACAGAGCTACTTAGCCAGCACTTTTTCTGGAACACTTTTCAAGTTCTGTATTTAATGGAAATCAAAAACTGATCTTTTCCTTTGTTTGTTGGTTCTTTTGTTTTGTTTTTTATATAAAAAAGAGGAAAAGAGGGAAAAAGGAGAGAAATAAGTACCCCCTTTAAAAAAGGAAGGAAAGAAGGAAGAAGAAAAAATATATTTAAACAATTAACTTGCTTTCTTTGAGAATGGTGTGGAGGCAATTTTTGGACCAGACTTGGTCACCAGACTCCTCCACAGTCCAGCAAAAAGACAATCGAATGGTCTCAGCCATCTGTGGCGCAGGAGAGCATGGGGGGGTTCCCACGATCCTCCCCACCACCCACCTACAGCATGCATGTGAGAAACCCACCAGAAGGCAATCGACAGCGGTCAAGGACAGCCACGGGGAAGGGACACTTGGTTTCGCTTCTTTTCGGGGAGGGGAAAGAAAACCGTCTAATCTGTGAACTCAAAGCTCAGTAATGAAGACTGAAGACTCGGCACTTTCCTCCTCCTCATCTTCCCAGCCCCTTCTTTTGTGCGGGTTTCTTTATTTTTCTCCCAGTTTGTTTGCGTTTTTAATTGCTTTTGTTGCTTATTTTCTTTGGAGAACCCAGAAGATTTTACAAGTCTGTGAATGGATCTTGGAGACACGATCACCTCCCAGTAAGTAACGATCGCTCTCATCTCCTTGGCATTTTCTCCTGCCCCATTAACTTTGGTTTCTCTCCTCCCTGCCAACAATTCCACCACAATTTTGCCCTCACGCTGAGCATCCCTTATGGCTTCATGTGCCATGAGGGCTAGAAACTTGTTAAGCAATGGTCTTGTAAGGAAGGAAACCGTATAAACAAACTGGAGATCATCCACTAGGCACCCACAGAGAGTGAACACCGCACAGGATGCTACAAAAGTGCTTTAAGAAAATCAAATGTACTTCAACCTACATTTTCTTTGGGGCCTACTTCAGGGGGTTCTCCATTGCCAGTAAAGAAGGCATATGAGACATCTCATTCGCATTCTTCTGATTCTTTGAGAGCTATTTTAAATATTTCCTTGGAAAAGAACCTGCCGGAAATCTGGGCCAAAACACACTGGTCTTTCTGAAGAATAAAGCCATTATTCTAGCATTCTGAGATGTGTTCTCTCTTCGTGGCTCTTGCCACCTCCGGACCCGAGTACTGTAATGCGCTTTACATTGTGTTGAAAAACCCATCTGCCTTCTAATGGGGAAAAAACATAACTGAAGAGCATATTCAGCTTGTAACATACCAGTTGCACTGGCTGTTGGTATGCATCCAAGTCCAGTTAGTTTTGCCCTGTAAAGGCCTTTATGTGCTGGGACCTCCATCCCTTGGGGTCCACCATCTTTCTCTTCACCTGCATGACAGTTGATCTCAGCTTGTTTGCTGAGCTTTCTTTCCAGATAGTAAATTTGGTGAGAACAGATGGAGCCTTTGACCCAGTAACTTCCTAGACCACGAGTCCCCAACCTTTTTGGACCCGTGAGCACATTTGGGGATTTGAAAAACTGCTGTGGCCACTATTGCAGAATGCCTAATCAGTGGATCGCCATTTCGGCACCTGGTGGTCAAACATGTGGCTTTCGGACTGCCTGTTATTCAGCGAAAAGCCTTCGGTTTGGTGCCTGCCGGTCACTGCGATGTCTCTTTAATAAGGATTGTCTAATTCAACTTAGTGTCTTGTGGAGCAATACAGCAAGTGTTTCTTTTAATAATATGTTTTGGCAATGTCCAGTAGTTGCTTTTTTTGAGGAGGAGATGATTACACAGATCAGTGTTGTACTGGGAGAGCCACTAATATCCATTCTTTCAAAACTATTTACCTGCTTTGTGGAAATTTGCAAATGAAAGGGGAAATGGATTCTTTTCACCCTTGGACAGATGAAAGACTGAAAGAGAAACACTCACCTGCTGTAATACAGTGGACTCTTGACACTTTCAGAATATGAGTGGGAAGCAGTCTTTCCCAACCTGGTGTCCTCCAGATGTCTCAGATTACAAATCCCAGCATCCCTCATCCAGCTAAGGTGACTGGGCAAGGCTGGGAGTTGTAGCCCAGAACATCTGGAGGATACCCATATGGGAAAGACTGCAGTGGAACAAAAGATGTGAGCTTATATCCAGGAGCTTGGCTTCTGCAGCCTCGCCACCCGCTCTGGTTCCCTTAAAAACAGTTGTGCTTCTGCACCATCCTGCATCCCTGTTCCGTTCAGCCATTCTGATGCCGCCCTGGTTCCCCCCCCCCCCCCCCCCGCCCCGGCTGCCGAATGCACCTGTGCCTGTAGTCCTCTCGATGAGGCCATTCCGCCCTTTGCACACCCCTCCTGGCTAGAGCCGCCTCAGAAGGCGTCTTTCCGGCAAGCAGGTGTTGGCCCCGGGTTCGCCCCTTTTCCTTGTGAGGTTCCAGCCTTCATCAGGAGGTACCAAAAGTCATCAGGGCCGCAGCAATTCGGCACTAATTGTGTGCCAGGTTTGCTTCTCTCCGGCTGTTTCAGGTTTCGGGGAAGGGGGCTTCCCTTGTCACAATCAATCGATACTGGATTAGCATACTGAGACAGCCATATTAAAGTCACATTAAATGCTCATTTAAACCCATTCAGTGGAGGGGGGAGGGGGCAGAAAATAGGCCTGTTTACTTCATTAATCCTTTCCTTAAAGTGTATCCTCTTTCCTGTGGGATTGAGCGTTCGGAATGCCCCACCGTGGTGTTCTGTGACAGTCTGACGAGGAAAGGGTGCTGGGGAAGAAGAGGGAAGCCAGTGGCTGCTGAAAGTCCGAGTAGCAGCAGTAACAGGGAAGGCTGCTTTTTGCAGAGTCGTGTGTGCTGGGTTGCCTCGCCCCGTGATGCATTTCTTTATGTGTGTTGGGGCTGCTGTGATTGACAGTGGTTTCCAGGCAGGGTCTTTCTCATCAACTGGTCCTTTTAGCTGGAGGTGCCAGGACTTGAACCTGGAACCATCTGCATGCAGAGGTGGCGCTGTGCCACTGAGCGACGAAGCAAACAGATGACTTCATCCGTGCCCAGGCCCTGCCCAGATCGGCTTCCAGGGTCAAATGTTGAGAAACGGGAGGAAAAACATGGGAACAAAGGCAGCCGCATGATACTGGGCATTTGCCCCCCCCCCCCGCCCCCCGCCCCGCATCACTGTCATCACGGAGGGGCAGTGGCTGCTGGGGTTCCTGGGCAGGCCTGTTTTCTAGTCCTATCCGGAGAGGCCCAGGGATGGGACAGGGGACCATCTGCGTGCAAAGCACATCTTTACCACCGAGTTACAGAGCCGAGGACAGAATCCAGCAGCTGGAGAATTCTCCACTTGTTTTTTCAGAGCTTGTTTACACATCTCTCAAGGCCATAAAGATTAGCTGGAGAAGCTGTGGGCTGAGCTGTGCCTGTTGAAGCCTCGGCAACCGTGAGAGGCTCTTGCATCAGATTCCCAAGGACCAGGGGAGCCTGCTTTCTGTCCCCGGAGCAGCTCAGCGCCCCTAACCTTGAAGACAGATGGAGATGAATAAGCAAGGAGGACGATCGTCTGCGTAGGTTCCTGTTCAGCAGTCACGCAAAAGGGATCGGAAATGGCCAGGTCCCTCATGCGTGTGCATCCACGCCAGTTTTCCGTATGCGGGACGCTTTTGCTACGGGCGAACAGATTTTCCCTGCCCATATTCTGGAGGGTCATGATCAGTGGGGAGGGCTGTGTCATGCCCTTGAGTGTGGGTATTCTGAGACAGCCATCCCCAAAACTGCATCCCCCCAATCTTTTGAGTTGCACGTCCCATCAGTGCAGCCCATTGTCCCTGCTGATGGCGGTGGCTTTCTAAGACAACCAGAGGGACACAACCTGGCTGCTCTAAAATGTCATCGTTTTGCTCACTGACACATTCCTCATCCCATCCTTTCATGCCTGCTTGGCCTGTCAGAGGCAAATTGACAGCCAGCCAGAACATAACGAGGAAGGCCTTGAGAAAAAGCTGCATCCCAGGGAGGTCCTCCCCTTTCTTTCCAAAGCTTTGGTAATAGGCTAAAACCGGCTCACCATCAATACGGTTTCTACCACAAAGAAGGCCACGTCTGTGTGGTGAGCAGTCATGGAACAGGATGTGCCACTTTCAGCCGGCTCTTCCAGGATTCTTAGCCGGGGAAGAGCTACATAAAGACCCAGTGGGATCAATCCAGAGAACCATCTAGAGCAGCACCCTGTTTCCTGCAATGGACACCCTGCGACCTTTGCAGATGAAGCCCTCTCCCACCGCTGTTCCCTCACAACTGATGCTCAGATGCACATTTCCTGTGAACCTGGAGGGAGCATGTTCGCCATCAGGGCAAACAGCTGCAAACGTTGACATGCAGGTGTCCATCATGAGGGTCTCCAGGGCCACAGGCTGAAGGGCAGTTCAGAAATACAGACATCTCTCTGTCTGTGTCTCTCTGTGTTTACAGTGTCTGACTCTCTCTCCCCTCCCTCCCTCCCTCCCTCTCTCTCTCTCTGTGTTTACAGTGTTTATACACTGTTCCACATTTAAGTAGATTCCAGACGAGTAAAGACAAAAGATAAAAAGAATAAAATGCCTAATTAAATACTTCAAAGAACCAGTGCCAATAAAAATGAGACTGGCCATTCAAGGAAGGTGTTCAGAAATAAGGATGTCTTTGGTAGGCACGGAAAGCGATGCAGTGCAGGCACCTGTCTGGCCTCATTCGTGGGTCCACTCCATCATTCAGCATGGCTGCAGCACAGTGTTTGAGGGCCTCCCACACTCTCAGGTGTGCCACCCCCTCTGAGCCCCTTCTGGAGGAGGTTGGCTGCCTGCTTCGAAAAGGGACCGTTGAACAAGTGACCCCAGAGTCTGCCAGGGGTTTTACTCAGGATACTTCACAGCACTGAAGAAGAGCAGAGGGCTGTGGCCAGTCCCAGCGGACCTAAGAGGCATCAACCACCTCATTCCACCATGGTGGCCCAGGCAGCCCTGAGTCCCTCACCTCCTGCACCTATCCAGCCACACCACCACTCAAGCCCAACATCATATCTTGGGATCAGAGAGCCATTCTCCATCCAGAGACCCACACGATCTGTCTCACAGCCTGGAGAATCCGGCGCGAGCTACTGATAGAGAGAGCGTGCCTGAGGAGCTCTGGCCAGACCCGGAGGTGGCCTTGAAGCCAACCACTGCACACTCATACCACAATGAAAAACCCTCCGTCTTTGCAGCACAGCATGGAGTCGACCTTCATGAACTGCTACCACTTTGAGGTCCAAGCCAGGGTGGACTGCGACTTTGGAAGGGCAGTCCTATCCTCCATCCTCTGGTAGTGACACCATTGTCCTCCAGGGGTTAAGCTTGCTGGTGTCAGAATCCAGGGCAGCTGAGGGCTCCTTCTGCTGGCCAAAGTCTTGAATAACAGCCCTGGTACTTGCAGGATTGGACCCACAACCTGCTGCAGCTATCGGGGCCTTTACGAGTGGCACCTGGGAGCCCTGGGGGGAAGAGCTATATAGGCACTCGCTCTTCCCTTCAGAAGTGGCCTCAACAATGACGGTCGTCTTGCCCTAGCCTTGCTCCAGTGCTGTTCCAGCTTTTCCTAGCCTTGCTCCAGCTTCATTCCAGCCTTGCTGCAATGCTCCAGTCACTCTAGCCTTGCTCCAGCACCGCTCTGGTCTTGCTCCAGTCTAGCCCCAGCCTTGCTCCACTTGCTCCAGTCACCCCGATCTTGCTCCAGCTCTGCTCTAGTCGTTCAGAATTGAGAGAATGGTCCTTTCTACAGCACCTCCTTCCTCTTGCCCAGGGCAGACAATGCCTAGCAGAAGAATGCGAGGCAGTGGGAGACATTGCTTCATTCCACCCCTTCACTTGCAGGGAGAGGGCAGGTGAGCGCACAGGGATAAATAGAGGAGGACCAGGAAGTCCCCAGGGCCAGCAGTGGGCTCCCCACTGGGATACATGGGCCTGGCAAGGGCAGATCCCTGTTGCCCCTCTCAGTCTCAGCTCGGGTGGCCCCTCGGCTGCCGTCTCCTGGTCTCCCGCTTCCATTGCTCCAAAGGAGGCAGAGTTGGTGGAAGAACAGTGCAGATGCTCATGCATCACCTCCTCTCCCATGCGCAGCTCATTCACCTTGAGTCGAAGGACAGGCTCTGTCCACCATTTTGAACAGTGCCAACCCATCAAAGGTCTTTTGCTACCCCCTCTGCTTCCCTCGGGCCCTGGAAGGTTGGCGGCACGAGAGAGAGAGCTAGAGAAGACTGGCAGAGGATGGCCTTTTGAACGTGCATCTTTGGAATGGGGCTGTGGCCTGTATTGCCATCTCTCCTCCCCCAGTGCCTGCCTTCTGGCATCCCTTTTGCTGCCACTTCCAAGAAGTTCTCAGCAGAAACTGTCCGACGGCACCTTCGGCAGCTTCCCCATGCTAACTAGGCAGAGCAAGTCTAGCCCTCGCAGTCTCTATGACAACTGATCCCTCTGCTCTCCTCATCGCTGCCTCCCTAGGATTCCTGTCACTCTGTTTCTTCTGCCTGAGGTCCTTCAGCTTCTTTCATGGGAGGGTTAAGTGCTCTGTTCCTTTGCATTTTTTATGCCTCTCAATTCCCACATGGATGGGTCTTTGGAACTACAAAGCCAGGCCCAGGGGGAGTTCCAGCCTGGCTCTGTCTCAGCATGACTGAAAGACTTCTGTGGCGTGGCTGGACTAGATTTTGATTCGGTCCTAGAATCTGTGCACCACATCTCTGAGCCACATGGTGCAATTCGTGCCTCCAGTCTCTCTTTCACATGCGCGCGCACACACATCCAGTTTCATACTGAGCGACTGCAGCCCGTACACTTCTAGGGAGTGCCCAGGTCAGCTTGCACATATATGCGTGCGCACCAGAGTTTGCTGAAAGATTCCGTTGCTTCTGTAAGCAAGGAGTGGGAAACCTCTAGCCTTCCAGCTGTTGTTGGGTCCCAGCTTCCAGTATCTCTGACGATTGGCCAGGCTGTGTAGGACAAATGGAACTTGAAGTCCAACAACAGCTAGAGGCCCACAGCTTCCAGACCACTCTGCTGCTGTAGGCCCGCCTTTCTGCAAAGGGGTGGTGACCCCCACTCTGCTGATCCTCCAGGTGCTCTAGTCCCGTCTCCAGGCTCTCCCCAGTGGTTCTGGTAGTGATGGTAAGAGATGCAGAAGGACCAGCATCCAGACCCCCCTTCCACTGACTGACACAGAGGGTAATATGCTGTTAAGCAGGCAGAAGAAGCACAAGCTGCATAAGAGACAATAGGTCAGTGCTATAGTTCTTTATATGCAGAAGATGCTGGGCCCAGTCCTTGGAAATGCCAAGTAAAAGGATCTCAGAGCTGGGAAAGGTCTTTGCCTGAGACCCTGGAGAGCTCCTTCCAGTAGAAGGAGCCAGTATGAACCAGTGTTATCAGGGCAGATAGCATGGGGAGGATTTGCTTGGTGCATGGTTTGCAGTTCCCAAACTAATGCGTGAATTGTCCTTTAATTTTTGCACTTTTCTGCATTCTGCAATGGTCAAAACAGGCATACCAAAATGGCAGGTACTGCATACAAAGAAGCATCTATTGATTGCAAATGCTTAAAAAAAAAGTAACTGGTGGGGAAAGGGGACAGAATGAAGTTGTGTTTGAAGGAATGTAAATGTTCTAGAAAGCGGGCAAAGCCATCCATCCTTCCTCGGTATAAGGCAGCAAACGTGCGCTTCAGAAGAGCTACAAACACGTATTGCTCAAAACCGACTTCCTGCTCCAAATCTGTTGCTGCTCTTGGAAACGTGCACTTGGCCCCTCTCCGTGGTTGTGCGGGCCAAGAGCTCTTAGCTCACTGAGCGCTTCTGGGTCACAAAGTAAATGATGGTTTTCTTTTGTCTTTTCTGTTCCCAGTTTCCATAACCATCAGGAAAAAGACCCTTCTCACCAGTCCCTCTAGCTATGCTTTTGCAACTCTGGTTCCTCCCAGACATTGCTTCTTTGTGGGGGTGGGGAAGAAGAGCAGGGGAGTGCCACCGGAACAGTCCTCGTCCACCAAGACATCCAAGCAAGAAGATGGACGCCTCGGGTTGCCTTTCCTCCCCCCTCCCTGCCTTCTCTGTCGTGCCGTGCCCCTTTCTGTACCTGTGCCCCCAGCACTCCCGACCCCTCAGTCCCAGGTCTGTCACTGAGATGCTTGCGTCTCCTCTACTGAGAAACGAGGGTGGGGGGGGATGGGTGATGGGGCTTTTCTTTCTGCACAAAACCAGCAATTGTAAATACTTTTCAGAAATGTAAAAAAAAAAAATCAAAAAACAATATGAAAGAGCAAACAACAATGAAAACACACACACACATGTTTTCAAAATCAGAAATAAATGTTTTGCAGACAAAAAATGGAAGTCCAGAGAGAGTCAAAGCAGGAGAGAAGCTAACTGTGTCAGGTATGCACTGAGAAAACTATTTGCAGATTGATTGACAAAAAGTAACAAGAACCTATTTATTGTATATAACGTTTTATTATAAATCGTGTATTGTATATTGCATCTGTACATCTGCTGTGGTTTTGTGATGTGCAAATTTCAGCATGGGTTTCATTGAGGTTTTTAGTTGCTTTTTTATTGTTTGGGGGGATTTTTAAAATTTGTTTGTTTGTTTTTCGGCAGTACGCACCCAAAGATCCAAATTTGTATTAAAAAAAGAGGAAAAATATTAAAGACAAGCAAATACACCCTCTTTTGTTGGGGAGGGGGGAGAGGGAGGGCAACAACTGCATTTTCTGAGTTCTCATTGGCCACTTGTAAATCAAAATGAGTATTCCTTCCTCCGTGTGTGCCCCTTCACGTCAGTGCTGAGCTCAGGGTGTGCGTGTGCGTGCGTGTGCGTGCGTGTGGTTTTTTTCACTTTTGTCCTGCCCTCTTGATTCCCTCCTTTTTTTCTCAATTTGGAAACTTATGTACAGCTTTGTGGATTGTGCAAAGAAAGAAAGGAAGTACCCCTCTCCCCATCCTGTGTTCTCCATGACTGAGCTGAACTGTACAACTAAATATTCCAGACTTGATAGTCACTTGGAGACAGAACACACCTCCTGATTGTCACCATATAAGCTCCTGCTTGCTTGATCCCTTCCCTGGGCCAAGTCGCCTTCATCCACCACCCCAAAGCCCCCCCTTTTTTGCTTCCCACCCCCTCCCTCCCCTGCACCCCAACTGGTCTTTTTGTGTATTTAGGAAGGAATTTTTAATAGACACTTTTTTATATTAAAAGAAACCTATATATTGAGCGATGCGGCTGCTTTGTGTGCTTCTGTTGGCAGTTGGATGGATGTCTCGGGGTGACTAGGGAGAGCCCGTTGCCAGCCCTTGGGGGTGCAGGAGGCGAGAGGAGGAGGGTTGGGGTGTGCTTCACTCGTGTGCTTGAGATGCTGCAGTTTGTTAAAGCTGGGCTGGGCTGGGCTGGGGGAGATGCTCCCAAGGCTAAATGCAGAAACAATGCATGGCAAAGGGCTGCCTTGGGAGGCTTGGACGGCCTTCAAAGGGCATCTGATGGAGAGGAGAAGGCTTTGCTCTTCACAGTCCTCGCAGCATCCCGGCTTCCAGCTAGCTGCTATACTGCTCAAGGCTGCCAGCTTCCCTGTTGGCGACTAGAAAAGAACTCGCTTGTTTTTCTCGGCTCAGAGGCCTCCACACCAGAATAAGCCTGGTGGGGTGGAGGAGATCCATTCTGGCCTGCGTTTCAAAGCAGGCCGCCTTGTCTCCGTGGCTCCGTCTGCCCCCACTGTGGTTGGAAGACGAGGTGCCCTAAAGGAGAAAGAAAATCGCGCAGGAAAGCCAGGAGGAAATGGAAGGGCGCTCCAAGGTGCCTGCTTCCCCGGGCTCCCCTTGGTCTGGCGTGTGTGCGCTAACCTGGGGAAGTGGGGGCCTTCGCAGCAGGCGGGTGGCCTTCCTTCGTGCCACTGCAGCCCATGGCCACTGCCGGGGAGGTTCTGCAGGGCGACCCTGCGGGTGCCTCCCATACGTGGCCCGACAGATGGGCAGGGCGCTCGTGCAGCAGGGAACTGCCACCAGAGAAACCTCGCGGGAGAAGAAAGCCGCCTTGCATGCAGCGCTCCCCCCCGCCCCCCAGCCCAAGTGAGGAAGCACTTTGATGTGCCTCCTGCAGCTGGACAGCCAAATTCCATCTCCGAGAACTTCCCAGGGGCGGCATTCCAGCACTGGGAGGGGGCCAAACGCAAGAGGGATGGGACCGGAAATACCAGTCTATTTTAGCTGAGAGCGCTTGCTGCCAGGAGCTAAGCCTTCGGAGAAGCATTGCAACCTTTCGGAACGGTGTGGGAGGGGGGACACAGAAGCCAGGAATGCCCCCAGTGACTGGGGTAAAGGGGTGGGAGCCCAGATGGGCCAGGGGCCTCCAGTTCAATGCCACACCTTGCATGTTTGTGTAGCTGAGAGCTGACTCGCAAGGCAGCTCTTAGTCCTGCTCCTCTCTTGGTACCTCTGTATTGGAGGAGGGCACTTCCAAGTATTCCAGTGGCCTTGAAACGTCTGCCTTGATCTTAAGCAGCTGTTTGGATAGCCCAGGAGCCCTCCAGTCTCCTTCCAAAGCAAGGCAAAGGTGGGGGTGAGGGCTCTTTGCTACCCAGCATGGACGCGAGTGGAGGAGCTCCATTGGTGCTGGCACCAAAGAACAGCGGCAGATGCTTTGTGCTGCTGAAGAAGCGACTCCTTTCTCATCTGCTTGCTTTGTTTGCCTGAATCTCCCTGAGCCACGACCAGGTGCAGGAAAGCAACAAAGAGTGTTGTAGCACCTTAAATCTTGGTACACTGATTCTGGCATAAGCTTTTGCAGATGATGGCTGGCTTCATCAGCCGTACGAAGAATGTTAACCTCGGGCAGATTTGTGCAGATCAAGTCATTCCCTGTAAGCATTTGGGGTTCTCCCAAAGAATTTGGGGCTTCCCAAAAGTATCTGGGGTTCCTCAGGAGGGCAACAGCAATAGAATATTCCCCCCATCCCTGTGAAGCAAAGCATGTTCCAGAAATGTGATTCCTTAATCCATTTGCTTGCTTGCTTGCTTGCTTGCTTGCTTGCTTGCTTGCTTGCTTGCTTGCCTATCTCGTAATTTTGCACTCTGCCAGCTAGCAGCGGCTTGCACCTCGCGCAGTGGAGGCTGCGATGTGCACATGTGCTTGGGGTCAAGCCCCCCGAACTTGGCGGAGCCCTTGGCGGGCTACGCATGGAATAGTCTCAGAGTGCCAAAGCAGAAAACAGCACATAATGTACATTCTGCAAGCTGCAGTCCCTTCCCCTCAGCCCCAAAATAGAATGGCGCTTCTGACAAAATGCTCAGCCATCAGCAAGTCTCCACAGGGGAATATGTTCCATAATTGTCCTGGAAGAACCACAGGCAGCTCTGTGTGTTGTATAAACTCAGCACTATGACGGCGTAGGTGGGGATTTGTTGAAAGCGGCTGGGTAGGCAGCTCCCTTTTGGGGGGTCTAGATATGCTGAACTTGTTCCTTCCCTCCCCCACGCCCACTTCCGCATGCTGCACTCACGCCTGACTGAAATGTGGAAGCAGGCAAGCCAGAAAAACTTGAAACCGGGTCACCCCTCACCTGTGTGTGGAGCATCGGCAGGCCAGGGATCCACAGGGATGCAGAACCTCGGTGCCCACGGGGGCCGGAGGTGGTTCCCGGGGGACTTTGTTCTGTGTCCCTTCCGACCATGCGCCTGCCTGCTTTCTCCTGTCCACTGATTGCTCAGTGGTTTCCCAGTTGTGGGCACGTCTCTTTGTGCCAAGATGCCTCTCCTGTGGCTTAGTGCTGATGAGAGTTTTCAAGTAAAATGTGTGTATTTTCAGGCCCACCCTTTTCATTCGTGGTTCTGCTCCTTGTACCTCTGGTCTCACTGACCCCTGGCATGCAGCTGTCGATCACTGCACATGTGCAGCTGAATTCGTGGTCTCCTTGGGATGCCAGGCACTGCATGAAAACCGTGCTGTGAAACTGAGCAATCAAAATGGCCCTTAACGTGACCTTTGAGTACAGGGAAGAAGGATTCTCTGGTCCCCTGCAAGAGGACAGCTCTGCAGTTTCTTGATGAATACTTCCTGCCTCAGGCCAGCCTCGCTTTTCCGTTGAGCTGAGCAAGCTTCCTGCTCTGGGTGTCACCTTGAGGGTGGGCAGGCTGGCTGGAAGGTGTAGGACTTCTTTTCTCTTGACACAGTGATGGGAGTTCATCTCCCAAGTGTTTGCTGCAATTATGGGAGAGCAGAGGGGCTGCACGCCTTCCTCAGACGGCAAAAGGTCTTGGGTCGGCACTAAACCTCCCTCCCTCAGCTTGCCAACTTCACGTCTGTCGGCAGGACTCCGTTCTGTGAACCCCTCAAGCCGAGCCCCCAGGCACCCGGGAGCTGCAGGGGTTCTTCAGCAGCAATAGGGTGGTGAGGAGGCTGGAAACCAGGTCTCGTAAGAAATGGGAGAAATGGCTGTGTTCTGCTTAGAAAATAGAAGATGAACAGAAGGCGTGATAGATGTTTTCAAATCTCTGAAGGCCTGACCAAAGAAGATGGAGTATTCTCAGTTGCCCCAGGTCATAAGCTGCAGGTAAGCAGGTTTTGGCTAAACTTTGGGAGAAACTTTTGAATGCAAAAACTGTTTGACAGAAAACTTCCTCAAGAACTGATGGGTTCTCCTTTGCTGGAGGCACCTCAGCAGAGGCTGGATAGCCATCTGTCACTGAGCAGGGGGTTGGACTCGATGACCTCCAAGTTCCTTTCCAACTCTAAAAGCCTATAACTCATCCCCCCTCAGCCGACAGAGCCCATTTGCTCTTCCTTTGCTTTGCTTTCCTCCCCTTGAAAAAAGAGTGGTGGAGGTGCTGACATGGCTCACACAGAAGGATGCACGAATGTTTTTTAAATCCATTCCATCTGTGTTTCACGGATTGCTAGGTGTTTTGTTCCATCATCCACCCACTGACAGCATCAGATTTTTTCCCCAGGAATTTACAAGAATTTTGTTCCTGTTTGCAAATCATGCAAGCATGTCCGTGTTGTACTCTTGAATGTGAATGCAAGTAGGGATGTGAATCTCAGGACATTTCTGCTATTTCCCAAACTTTGCATTTGAAAGCGGGCACTTGTGCAAATCCATCCCCCCCCCCCCATGCACTTGCACAGAAACCTTGAAGATCCACAGATCCGTGG